CAGCCCGTCGCGCTAGCCACTAGACCAGCTAGCCACAATAAGATTCATCCAACTAGGTATATTTCTACACCCGCGGGTTCAATCCCGGCCGGGGGTATGGTTTATTTGCAATCGTGTCATTACGATTTCTTAAGTCATCTAAACGGGGTAGTCTGAGTATTTCAGAAACTGCTGGTATCCTGGGATTTTCACACACACGCCTCTAGCGCAGCGTTTCTCAACCAGGGTTCCGTGAGAAATAGTGATAAATAGGCTAATCATATGTAAATGCATTTTTGAGTCATTTTAGTTATCTTACTATACACGTACGGCATATTCTTGGAAAATTCTTGGGTATTATAATAAAGTCTTCAACCTATTATCATTTAAATCATTATTATAATCAAAAAGAAACGTTAATTAAGCCACAAGGGCTATACAGCGCTGCTATTATCATTTAAAAATATAATAATCATAGAAAATATATTTAGCGACGTCTATTCGGCACCAGTGTGTGAAACCGCCTTTAGAGGTCAGTGGACAGGAGCTGTACGTGACGGATTCGTGTATCAAGTGACTCACTGAGTTTTCAACCTCACTGCAATTTTCACCCTCTTAAATGTGTGAGCAAGCTTTTTCTAATTTAACAAGCATCAAGAGCAAAGACAAATCGTCTCCTTTCAGTTGAAGATGAAATCCGTGTGTCAATCTAAAATTCGACCCCGAATTAAGTATTTGTGTACCAAAAGACAACTACAGCTTTCACATTAGTGAAACAAATTTCATGATCTAAATTGGCTTCAAAAATAACATTTCCTTAATCCCACATACTTGTTCATATGACATTTTGCCTTGATTAATCTTATTCCTTTTCAACATTGTCAATAAACGATTAAGTTACTGTAATAATTGCTGACCTAGAGAATGTACAGAGAACCTTCATGGCACGCATAACTGCGATAAAACACCTCAGTTACTGGGAACGCTTGAAGTTCCTAAACCTGTACTCCCTAGAACGCAGGCGGGAGAGGTACTTGATCATATACACTTGGAAAATCCTAGAGGGATTAGTACCAAACTTGCACACGAAAATCATACCCTATGAAAACAAAATTATTATTATTATTATAATCAAGGGGGAAGCGCTAAACTATGAAAACAAAAGACTCGGCAGACGATGCAACATCCCCATAGTGAAAAGCAGGGGTGCTACTAGCACAATAGCAGCGCTGTATAGCCCTTGTGGCTTAGCGCTTCTTTTTTATAATAATAATAATAATACTAGCACAATAAGACACAACACAATAAGTGTCATGGGTCCAAGACTATTCAACTGCCTTCCAGCAGTTATTACCAATAAACCTCTGGCTGTCTTCAAGCAGGCACTGGACAGCCACGTCAAGTCAGTACCTGACCAGCCGGGCTGTGGTTCGTACGACGGTTTGCGTGCAGCCAACAGTAACAGCCTGGTCGATCAGGCCCTGATCCACCATGAAACCTGGTTACAGACCGGGCCACGGGGCGTTGACCCCCGGAACTCTCTCCAGGTATACTCCAGTTATATGTTATATATTATGCATGAACAACCATTGTCAAAAAAGTGAAATTGCAAGCGATTTCGTGACTTCTCACATTATCAAGGAACTAAAAAAATGAAACTTTAACTAGGAAGGCATATAAAGACCAGACTACACCTCCCTGCCACCCACAACACCACTCATTGACTATGATGATGTAGGTAGGTAGTCAGTGATCTGTGAAAGAGCTTATATTCTACCCAAAAATTTGTCTGATTTACTTTAAATTCTTCCCAAATTTTATTAATTATAAATGAATCCAATTTATATAAACCAAAAGAAATATTCATATTATTTTCAAAACTACTTTTTATGCAACATGATTCTATTATATCCCTGTCGACCATGGACTTGCTTGATATAACTTTCTCAGCCTTTTGAAAACAAATAGAAGCGGACAAGATTCTAATGCTCTGTTTATTCATGTGAGAGATTTTAACCATCCAGTTGATTTTAAAAAGGTTGAGAAAATTATAAGTGGGGATAAATCCATAGGGGGTCATATACGGCCTGGGGGAATGGAAGGTATTCAGGCTCTATCCAGAGAGATCATAAGTCCCGTTCCTTGGATCAAGAACCCTCCCACCGCCATCAAGGCACCTACCTACCTTCCTTCAGGAGGAACGGAACCTGAGTGGGCCACATTCCGATTTCTCCCCATTTAAGCAAAAAAACTCAGTCCTTTTTTTATTAGCGATGAACTAGTTAGCCGCGGCTGGTTCCACCGGTTGAAATACCTGGGTGAGAAGTTGATAAATTATTGTATTCATGGGGGAAAGTGCTAAACCTGTAGGGATTATACAGTGTCTGGGGAGTTGGGGGTAATCTGGTTTGATTCGAAGAGGGTAGATCCAATTCACTGCATCAAGAGCATCAAGGTACTCTTGAAGAGTAAAGCAAAGTTATTAGACAAGAACGACCCCGTGTGAACACTGTGTTTACTTACTGACTAAAATATGTTAAAAATTATAGCTTGTAGTTAACATAGAGTTTGTGGTCCCTTAACGGAACAACAGTTCTGTGTTAACTAGATTAAGGGGCCATCAGTCCATCAGTGCTGTGTTAACACAGAATTGGTGGTCTCTTAATCTAGTTAACATAGAACTGGTCTCTTAATCTAATTAACACAGAACTGGTCTCTTATCTAGTTAACAAAGAAAGAACTGATGGTCGTATCTTGCACCAAGAATCTTCCCGTTACTAGGCAACAAGGCACCCCCTTCACCAGGCATCAAGGCACCCCCTTCACCAGACATCAAGGCACCCCCCTTCACCAGGTATCAAGGCACCCCTTCATCAGGCATCATGGCACCCCTTCATCAGGCATCAAGGCCCCTTCACCAGGCATCAAGGCACCCCTTCACCAGGCATCAAGGCACCCCTGTTAAAGATGGAAAGTGATGTATACAAGAAAAAACTCAGGCCTAAATAAATTAAAACTTAAAGACTAGTTAGTGAATGACACGTTCAATTTCCCTCGACCTGGAGGCAATGGAACTTGATTTTCCAGGGGAAATTGAGGAACTTGACGGCCTTGGCAGAACCAGGCTGCTGTTGTCTCTAATTATAAACGACTTATTACGACCGTACCCAGATCTAACGTAGTTCATTACCGCTGTAACTTACCTAGCTAACAAAATACTGAGGCTCAGTCCCTGGACCCATTATGTGCCTCTGTATACTTTTGACTACCGCCCACAGGCTGGGTATGGGGTGACTACCGCCCACAGGATGGATATGGGGTGACTACCATTGTTGTTTTACCATTATTGTTTTGTCACTGTTGTTTTAACATTGTTTTATTATTGTTTTTTAAGATCTGGTACGATAAGACTCACGAAACTAGAAGAGTGAACCTAGTAACGACCAGATAAGAGGCGGGGCCAGGAGCTGAAACTCGACCCTTGCAACTACACACAGGTGAGTACATTATTATAATCATGGGGGAGCGCTAAACCCATAGGATTACACAGCGCCTGGGGGAGGATGGAAGGTATTCAGGCTCAGTTCAGGGAACCGGAGCACAGATCCAATTCCCTAGATCAAGAGCCCCTCACCAGTGTCAAGGAACCTCCCTTGAGAGGACAGGTGAGTACAGATGTGTGAAAGCACACATACACAAGTTTCAGGAAGCGCTAAGCCCTTGTGGGTCAGTCAGCTTTTCCAACTGAGCACGCCTGAGATTAATCTCTGGCATTCTTCCTTCAAATTTTCCTTGATTGCTTTGTAACTTAGGTGGCCCTGTATAACATAGATTAGATTATAATTAGTTTTTAACATTCTTCAAGAAGAAGAGGAAAAGAAGCAACAGCAGCAGCAGCCAGCAGCAATAATAGTAACAGCAGCAGTAGCAACAGCAGCAGCCGCAACAGCAGCAGCCGCCGCCGCAACAGCAGTAATAGTAACAGCAGCAGCAACAACAGAAATAACTGCAGCATTAGCAGCAATAGTAGCAGCAGCAGCAACAACAGCAGCAATAGCAGCAGCAGAAGCAGCAGTCGTCGCTACAGCCGCAGCCGTCGCCGCCGCAGCAGTAGCAATCGTAACATTACGGAACACTTTGACCACAAAGGTCACTCAGAGTTCACAGCCATAAAATAATACATACAACGCATAATAAAAACAAGGAAAACATGAACCAACCAAGCCTTTAGAAATTAAGAACTTAATGGCTTTTTAATTGATGTTAATGTCAAAGACTCAATAGTTCCCCGAAGTCCCTACAGGCACCTCAGTATGCATAAGTTACCTAGAGAGGGTTAGGAGCACCTACAAACAGGTGGCCAGGGGTGAGATGTGCGTTTCTGATCCTAGAGCCAGAGCCAGGCTGTGTAGCACGTTTCGTAAATGTTGGCGAGGCTTTACAAGTGATCTCTGGAATTAATCTGGTGGAACGGTGAGAAGGGGCGGGAGCGCTAACTAGTAAGAGTCATACAGCGTAATGGGGATAATGGGAAGCAATGCGGTATGATCTTATAAAGGAAAGGGTAGTTCAAGTACCTTAGATCAAGAGCCTTTCACCGGCATCAAGGCACCCCTCTTGGACTCCCGGTGATAATGGTAGCAATTACAGCGGTTGGAGAAAATATTCGGCAGGTATGATAGAGAGACGAGAGGTACGACTAAACTGACGAGAGTAAGACGACTGATCTAGGTAGTGGATATGACGGGTCACCGAACTTGCTGAAACAACGCGTGTTGGTGGCCTGATAACAGTGACACACGTCGTGAACTCTTGCTGGTGTTTTCTTTTTCTTTTCCTCGGGGCGATCATTACTGTTAATAGTGGTCACATTAAACGCTAAGAGCTACAAAGCATTGTGATTTGAAAAGAAAAGAAGGATAGTGTGTAGTCAAAGGTTAATGATAACTTGTGAGCAGATTCGTGCGGAAGCAAGTGCTGAGTTAGGCAACAAAAAAAAATTGTGGCACACAAACCCAGCTTTCACAAAACGAGTGGCAGCAGCAGCAGCTGTGGTGGTCGTACCCGGACGGACGCTGCTGAACGCAGTGCTCTCACTAGCCTCTCAGTAACGTCTTGACTATAGTGGTGAGTGGTCGCCGCATCTCCTGCAGGATGTAATAATATCCTACATCAATTTTCACACCTTATGACCTAACCACAGCGGCTGTACTTCACGTCCTCCGCCACACGCATGTCCACTTACAATATCGTTCGTGACCGCCTAAATGTAACTTAATGCGTGTAAGAATGTGTATTATACGTACTAATAAGAAAGTAATACTACAGGATCATTGTAGTAGGCCTGACGGCTCATGCTAATAGCAAATAGTGAATAAGTTGAAACTGCTAGTGATTGTTAAGGTTTTGTCCTGTGACTTGAAAGAACAAATATCTTTGTGATAGTGAACTAAACGCTACATTGATAATGAACAAAAAGTGAAGACGCTACTAATAGATTACATCAAATATTATGCATTCATTCACCTCACAACTGAGAAGTGTGATGAATGCTTCAATAAAACAGTGTACTATATATTATTGTTAATGTCGTGGGAAAGCGCTAAACTCGTAAAGATCCTCCACCATCACCACCTGGCCTCAATTATGGAAAATTTAATTAAGGAGAGGGGAGGGGGATGCAGATTAAATATCGGTGTTGGTGCGTTGAATCCTATATCTTGAACGTTAACGTGGCAGCTTTGGAAAGTGTTCAGCCATTGATGGTGGTTACGGCCAACATTCTGGCCTGGTACAGTCTATACTAGGCTGGTACACTGAGTTTGCTGCAACTTGTGTCGGCATTTTAAAGTTTTGACATCGACAATAATACTCATGTTGTCTGGGGAAATAATTTTTTTTTTAATAAATACCGACGATGGTGAATAATTACTGTGCGTGATTATACTGCTAATTACTGTGCATGATTATACTGCTAATTTCGCGTGATTACACTGCTAATAATTGTACGTAATTATACTTCTAATTACTGTTCGTGATTATAATGCTATGTGCATCATTACACTGCTAATTGCTGTGCGTGATTATACTGTTAATAGTACGATTTTTTTTTTTACATTTGTCGAATGCTGAGAAGTCGACCAATATGAGAGTATAGTTGAACACCCCCACACACAAACACGAGTCACTCCAGGAGCTGTGAATCGACCCCTGCAACCATAAATAGGTAAGGACAGACACACCTGTTTATTACCAATCAAAAACTCTGCGTATAATACACACTGATATAAACATACCCCAGTGTATGTAACACAATGATTACACGCATGGGTCATACGGCACCTGGGAGCGGGAGGTCAGCAGCTTTGATCCAAATGTAAGAATTGCTTCAATTTCCTTGGATGAAGAGCCCTTCACCAGCATCAAGGCGCTGCCCTTAAAGTTTAACACTTTAAGGTTGCTGGAATACCAGTATATCGGAACATAATCACTGGACACTTAAAATTGACACTAACACAGTGTGGTAGGTACCTCACTGTTCAGTGTACACACGTCATCACTGGTGGGCTTTAACTGTCACTAACTACTTACAACTACCGCAGCCCCGGCAGTGACCTAGTGACTGCCGCAGCTGCGGTAGTGACCTACTGGCTACTGCAGTCGTGGCAGTGACCTAGTGATTACTGCAGTCGTGGCAGTGACCTTGACGTCTGCCTAATCATCACCACTGACTGTGTCATCTCATGACACCGAGTTAATTGACTTACGTGGTGACACCACAACTACAGTTCAGGATGACACCACCAGTACAGTCCAGGATGACACCACTATTACAGTCCATGATGACACCACCACTACAGTCCATGATGACACCACCATTACAGTCCACGATGACACCACCACTATAGTCCAAAGTGACACTGCCACTACAGTCTATGATGGCACCAACCCTATAGTCCATGATGACACCACCAGTACAGTCCAAGATGACACCACCACTACAGTCCATGATGACATCACTACAGTCCATGATGACGACACCACTACAGTCCATGATGACACAACCACTACAGTCCATGATGACACCACCACTACAGTCCATGATGACACCACCATTATAGTCCATGATGACACCACCACTACAGTCCAGAGTGACACTGCCACTACAGTCTATGATGACACCACCACTACAGTCCAGGGTGACACCAGTACAGTCCAGGATGACACCACCTCTACAGTCCATGATGACACAACCACTACAGTCCATGATGACACAACCACTACAGTCCATAATGACACCACTACAGTTCATGATGACACCACCACTACAGTCCCGAGTGACACCACCACTAGTCCACGATGACACCACCACTACAGTCCACGATGACACCACTACAGTCCATGATGACACCACTACAGTCCATGATGACACCACTAGTTCATGATGACATCACCACCTCAGTCCAGAGTGACACCACCACTACAGTTCGGGATGACACCACCACTACAGTCCAGGGTGACACCACCACTACAGTCCATAACACCACCACTACTACAGTCCATGATGACACCACACCCACTACAGTCCATGATGACACCACCACTACAGTCCAGGGGACACCTCTACAGTCTATGATGGCACCACCACTACAGTCCAGGGTGACATCACAACTACAGTCCATAATGGCACCACCACTACAGTCCAGGGTGACATCACCACTGCTCTCCATGATAACACCACCAACACTACAGTCCATGATAACACCACCAACACTACAGTCCATGATACCACCACCACCACTACAGTCCATAACACCACCACCACTACAGTCCACGATGACACCACAACCACTACAGTCCATGATGGCACCACCACTACAGTCCAGGGTGCCACCACCACTACAGTCCATGATCACACCACCACCACTAGTCCATGATGACACCACAACCACTACAGTCCATGATGGCACCACCATTACAGTCCAGAGTGACAACACAACTACGGTCCATGATGGCACCACCACTACAGTCCATGATGACACCACCACCACTACAGTCCATGTGACACACCACCACTACAGTCCATGGTGACCACCACTACCACTACAGTCCATGATGGCACCACCACTACAGTCCATGATGACACACCACCACCACCACCACTACAGTCCATGATGACACCACCACCACTACAGTCCATGGTGACCACCACTACCACTACAGTCCTGGGTGCCACAAAGAAAAAAGAGATGTCGTAGACACAATAAGAGAACATTGCATCAACATCCTTAGGCTCAGACTGTTTAAGACTTTCCACAAGATATCAGAATCTATATTGCAGGAAGAAATGTAGAGGTTTTCAATCAGGCTGTGATGGGCATGTGGGCCAGCGAGCCGCCAGCAGTAACAGCTTGGTTGATAAGGCAAACACCAGACAAGCCTGGTCCAGGGCCACCCTGCGAGAGGAGGATTATTATAATCAAAACCAAACGCCAAACCTACTAGTGTCACACAGCGCTGTGTGCGAGTAGGAAAATTCTTTGAAAGTCATTCAGTGCATATAGACAAGCACAAATAGGAAGCGCGTCTGTTTCGCGGTTAGCAGGAGGGTCAAAGCCTAGAACGACGTCTTGCGCAAAATGACCCACATTGGTTTAGTGCTTATAATAAAATTAAATGGTATGGTATGGTATACTAAAATAACCAGGCCTGAAAATCAATTTAAGACTGTTCAAAAAAACCACTTACTCGCCCAGGACTAAATAATCAACACTCAATATTTAACATTACCAATAATTCTCCCAATTACTTAAATCTTAAAACTTAAGGACAACATACAGTATATTGATCTTCTTGTTTGTTATACACTATAATGCGATAAATTTGTACAACTATAATGATTTAATATCGAAATATTCAAATTTCATTGTTTCAAATACTCAATTGTACTTCATATTGTAAATTGTTTACGGCAATTTTACCACTAAACCTTTCATTGCTTGTTAATTTTAAGCCTGCCCATAATGCTCTACATACAAGGGGCTTTTGGCATGTACACCCAACTACTATAATTCCTTGTACAACTATGTATCATGTCCAAATAAACTATATGAATATGAATGAATGGTGTGGTGAGAGTATGTTGTGAGAGTATTGTATGGTGAAAGTATGGTGTGGTGGGAGTATAGTGTGGTGAAAGTATGGTCATATATTCTTATGATGGTGTAGCAGTATACAAGATATAGAACAGCAGAAGCGTGGGGGCGGTGTGGGGGGGGGGCACAGATGCGTCGTCATCGTCTCGACTTTCTCTCTGTGGGCCCCGCCTCCTTCCTTTTTCTGGCCTACTAACCTTCCCTCTCCTCTTATCCCACCTCACTTACTTCCCTCCCCTCCCTTTATCCCAGCTCACCTTCCCTCCCCTCCTTTTAACCCAGTTCACTTACCTTCTCTCCCCTCCTCCTTTTATCCCAGTTCACTTACCTTCGCTCCCCTCCTCCTCTTATACCAGCTCACTTACCTTCCCTCCCCTCCTTTTATACCAGCTTACTTATCTTCCCTCCCCTCCTTTTAACCCAGCTCACTTACCTTCTCTCCCCTCCTTTTATCCCAGTTCACTTACCTTCTCTCCCCTCCTCCTTTTATCCCAGTTCACTTACCTTCCCTCCCCGCCTTTTATCCCAGCTCACTTTCCCTCCCCTCCTCCTCTTATACCAGCTCACTTACCTTCCCTCCCTTCTACTTTTATCCCAGCTCACTTACTTTCCCTCCCGCCTTTTACCCCAGCTCACTTTCCCTCCCCCCGCCTCTTATACCAGCTCACTTACCTTCCCTCCCCTCCTTTTATACCAGCTCACTTACCTTCCCTCCCTTCCTACTTTTATCCCAGCTCACGTACCTTCCCTCCCTTCCTCTTATCCCAGCTCACTTACCTTCCCTCCCCTCCTCTTTTTACCTCAGCTCACTTACCTTCCCTTCCCCCAGCTTACTTCAACCATGCCACCCCGTCTTTCCTGCATGGAGTCACCCATGCCGGAGTGACTTGGAATAAACAGGTTTATGTAAACTGGAAGTATTCTGAGGTTACTGTAACCTGCGTCTTGTCTAGTTTTACAACCGAACCCGTA